GCCAGCCTGCCGCTCTCCTCTGCCAAACATTCTCCAGTACCGTGGGGTGCCTCACAGGGATTCCCCCTGCTCTCCTCAGACTTCATATGGGACAGCTCTCTCTCTGGAACTGCCAGGACTCCACCAGCAGCTTCCCTGGAAAGGCTAATGGACTATAGAACCACCCTTAAAACCGCAAGTACCTTGCCCTAGGGGCTACTCCATAGAAAGTGTCAGCAAATACTCACTTGTGCAATTGGTGTAACGTCATATCAGTGAACTGCTTCTCCATTTCCAAACTGTATACTAATAGTATTGCTGCCCTTCTCATGCAACATATCTCAGTTGTCTCTGTGGAGAGTGTGGGGTTAATGTGACTGCAACTACTCATACAAATCATACTAACTAGAGACTGCTGGCTTACCGTATATCTATATAAGGGTACTGCTCTGCATACCTATAGGGGAACTCTAACCCCCCATTCTATACTGTGATTGGCGTATGATGTGCTAGAGGGTTACAACATCACTCCCTACCATACAGAGTGTAAACGGGAACCCTCGATCTGAGCCAATTCACACGCACAGGTTCTAGCCAATTTCCGCAGCTGCGATCCTACCTAAACCTCCTCGGCTCGAGCGTTACAAACACTTGGATCCAGGATTGGAGATTTCATCCCACCCAAGACTCTCAAAAATCTCCAGAGTCCCAGATCCCAGCTACAGCCCTGAAAACCTGGAAAGACCTGAAAAGTCAGCTCTTTCCTTGCAAAACTACTGTTTTCTGGAACCTCTCAGCCCTCTGGTGACAATGCTGTCAAATTACACAGTAGCATTGCCTCACAATGCTACAGTATATAGAGACAGTACGGGTGTTTTGTACACCCCTATAGTAGATTTTGTACACTCCTATGGCGGATTTTTGAGACATTTTGGGTACAGCTCCCTTGATAGACTATAATTTCAATACGAATTAGTAAACTAAACGTGATATTGTAGTCCATCATAGCTTCAGCTGAATGATGCTCAAATAAGCTACCTTTTTTTTAATTGTTAAGATACTTGAATGCGTTTTTAAGATATAACTCCTGAAGTTAGTGTCTCTTTAAGTTGCTTAAATAGTGTGCATCAAATCTGCACAGTTTTTGTGGCTTTTTTCTTTGAAATACACTCTAATTTTGATTTCTTGATTAAAAGCTGCCTGCTGACTCCCACTGAAACTGCAGCCTGGTAAAAGTGCTTCTATACTGTGAGTCAATATAATATTTCTAAATTGGTTTTCCTGATTATAAACCTGCCTTTTGTGCAGAGTCTTTAAATACTTTAAATACTTCAATTGCTATACCCACACCAGTCAGCTTTAAATAAAGAAAAAAAATCAACCTTACATGTATTTATTTAACTGAAGGAGCCACCAAAATATTGTAGTGAGAAAATGCACAGAACGCTTCAGAACTATCCATAACACAGTGTGTCTGTGATGCCATGTATATATAGCTGTTATCAGCAATCACCAGTAGCATCTAACCCCCCTGAAACCATGGACTTTGCTAGCGTTGGGCACCCAAGACACTTGCCCTACATCTCTTGCAAGGTGCTCTGGGTGCCAAACCGGCACCCCCCACCACAGCAGCCAGTGGCTATTGTTAGAGATGCACCACCTGTTAGACCTCAGATACAGCAGGATATTGCAATTCTCAGAGAAACTTTGCTATGCTCCTTCACAGTTCTGTTGTGACAAACCTGAGGGGACTCCCTGGAGGACTTTCTCTCCCTATGCCAGGTGCCACTGCATCTGAGGTCTGGTGAGTCAAACAGGGAGGTGGGAAATTGTGCTGAGATTTACTCAGGATATTGAGTTTTAGGTGGGAAATGTATCTGCTTGTTTGTGCTGCGCTACCTGTGAAGGTCTCTTGGATTTATCTGTTCTTTGTTAATGTATTTCCATGCATTTATGTGTCGGCAGTTTGTCTGAGCATTGGTCTCATCTCAACAGACTAAAAAATGTTTTGGCTTAGGAAGTAGAGCAGTAATTATACCTGATAGCACCTCTGTATATAAAGTTGGTATATATGTATATGGAGTATGGTGGAATCTTTGTTTGTGCTCTGTGTGTTATACACACTCCTCACCTTTGTATTGCAGTGTGTATTACATACTCCTGACCCCTGCACACTGCATTACACATACTCCTGACCCCTGCACTCTGTACTTTACACATTCCTGACCCATACATGCATGTGTGATTGAAGAGTTGTATTCAAAAAGTGATCTCTCCCATATCTGCTACAGGACTGCCCAACACATTGTGTGTATGTGACTGAACGTGAATATAGACTATCTCTCCCTACAAAAACTCTGTGATCTTTCCCTAATTTTCTCTGACTTTTATAGGCACAAAATCAGGAAGTGCATTGTTGATAATTGGTGGTTATGTAAGTAATTGACCACATTAGTTTGCCATTTTCACAACTACAAACAATTTGGGCTCAGGTCGAATGCAACTGCATTACTTATGTCACTGCATACTTGAAATAGTGGTGGGTTAGAAGCGCTACATTGTTTATAGATTTCAGTTCCTAAAAAGTGGTTACTTGTATAATGTAGCAGCTCGATGTGATGTTTTCATCTACATTTATATTTTTGTAGTTATTAGGGGTAAGTGCTGAAAAGTAAATTATTTATTGTTTTATTGTTATTGATAGATCCCAGATAATAACGGATCATCATGGTGGTGGGGAAACATTGTCAAGCTACAGGTCATCAAGAATGATGATGGATTTACATTGCTCGATGATGTGATTAATTTACATAGGGGGCATTACTTACATTTTTATTGCAGAACTTTAGGTGTGTGGTGCGGATATTTGTGCTTAGTGTTTAGTCAGTGGTTAGTTTAGTGGTTAGTTTTTGGAAATAAATTCTAAGGGGTATTAGTCTACCCTGTACTCATTTCCCTGGGAGGGGGCAGATATCTTGGGGAATTGTATATCTGGTATATCTGGGGGAATTATGAAATAAATAATCATAATTATAAAGTAGGCTTCCAGATTGCTATAAGTTCCCTCCTACACAAACCTCCACTTCCTTTTTGGGGGACTGGATATGGGGAAGAGACGCTTGTCCCCCAACTTTGGGACAAAGAGCCTTGCAATGGAAGGGGGGCTTTACCACCCATCCACATTTCAAGGTACCCTCCCATGTTGAAAGGCATGTGGTCTGGCGTGGTACAGGAAGGGGGTATTCTCACTGCCCTCCCTTTCCTCACTACCCAGGCTGCATGCTTGGAAAAGGGTAAGGTTAGAACACTGAGTGGAACCTCATGCCATTTTTTTCTTATTTTTTTATGTTATTTTTAAAAGGACTAGATTGTACTGTTTTGTAACAGCATGTGCAGCTTTAAGGCACCCCCAAAGAATGGTATTTAACACATTTAGCATTTTTCATGTTGCCCTTTAAGCTCCAAAAATGCTCCCTCTTCTCGCTGAACTGAATTTTTTTATTTAATTTTTTTTGCATTGCAACATTTCTCCCATGGTGGTGCTCAGCTCCCCATGCTTTCTTTTTTTAACAGTAGCTTGCCTTGAAAATGACCAGAAACAATTGCTAATTTCACTTCCCATAGATTTTAGTTGGGTTCAGCACTAAGTTCAGGGTTCACAGACCTCCCAATAGGGGTTTCACTGAACGCCACAGGATCTGAACCCAAACATCCCCCTGGCACATACCTTCTACATGTTGGTAATCTATATTATAATAAACTCACCTAAAAGCATACAATTACATTGTCTGCTATTGTGCAATACTCTAAACTGTATCAATTTGAAAGTGTCCAATGCTCCATGACATAGAATGGGTACAATAAATGTAAAAAATTACTTTTAAAGACTTTTTGCAAAATATTATGTTAATGATTCCTTTCAAATACACCTTATTAATATAAATGGTCCCTGCTCTAAAACAAACTCTAATTTGTTCATGTTTATTAGATGAGCTCCCTCCAGGGCAGATGCTTATGTAATTTGTTTCTGTGTACTCCGTAAAATTTACTCTCTCTCTCAAAATATAATATTTTTCACCTTTAGCAAAAAAATGTTCACCCTCCCCCCCCCCCCAAAAAAAAAATCTGGTTGACCCCTACAAAAAAAATTATTC